CGTATGTCACCATGTTAAATTCCTATGTACGATGGGCGTGTAGGGGGGAGGGGGGGTCAATTTTTAACCAAAATTTTGCATACGTACTTTGTGCACGCCGCCTTAATAGTATTTAGCGGACACTCCGGCCCTACGGTCCAAACGATTCTGTAAACCGTACGAGTTGAGTAGCCCTACACACCCATACGGAACCGTACTCCCCCTGTCCCAGACATTTCACGAATGTAAAGCCATACCCCTCCAGAAAAGTCAGTTCCCCTCCCGATAGGGGCTTATTGTAGGGAACGTACGCTTCCGTACCGACTGATTCCCAGTCTCTGTACGTCTGGAGCCAATTGTCCGTCCGATGGCACTGTCGGGTCAGTTAATACCCGGGCGCTTCATACTGGGTGACCGGTGTTGACTCCCGATCAGTGGGGTATATATCACCGTATGGAGGGGGTAGGGTTTCCTCTGATACATCTAAAGGTTGTGTGGGACTGGTAGGTGCAGGTATAGCTCCGGTTTGATTGAACAACTGATTCGTTAGGCACCTGAAGGTGTACCTCAATTGGTGGGTCAGTAATATAAGCCACACCCGGGCCGGTTACTAATGTGGTAGCCCTTTGTGCAAATAATGATGATGGCCTAACATGTGCTGCCCGTCCCCTACGTATTTGTGTTAGTTCTACTCGAACGGCACGTCCCGGCCCTTTAAACCGCTGTCCGTACATTATCTCAACTTTGTTTACACTTATATTTGTATTTTTAAACGAAATATTATTTTCAAATTACCTTAATTTTCTAAGATTTATATTGCAAGGTAATTTTTATTAACATAATTGTTATAAATTATAAAGAATGTCACAAAAATTTTTAATTATTTTTATTTATTTATAAAAAATTATTACAATAATTTTAAATTTTTTTTGTTAACATAAATTAAAATATGACAAAAAGACTAGAATTAAAAATTGATAATTATTAAAATTCTATGAGACATATAATAGTAAAGTAAGCGCTTGTGAAAATACATTGTAATAAAAAAGTCTTTCAATTAAATGCATTAAAATAATTTGTGCAAACATGAACTTAATAAGTTACATGACATGAAATGTCTCCATGGGAAACAACCTATTACAATTGCACACATGTGTTTTATACAATCTCAAAAACAAGATTGATAAAATACAAATATATAAACAGAAAAATATGTGAATTCTGTTTTATTTTGTACTGACAGTCAAAGTTTTTGCAAGTTCAATATAAAATTTAATTTATAGTTATTTTGTTAATATAAGCACTACAGTGTATTCAAATTGTAGGACTAAATTGTAAAACAAACTAAAGTAGTCTAAGCAAACAAAATGTCAGAAATGCTTAAGAATTTGAACAGAGAATCACAAAACTCTGAAAATAGGGTCTCTGTTGAGGATCAGCTAAAAGTGTATGAATTATGTAAAACACATTTAAGCGGTCATTGGAGTGATGTTAGTGCCGATCAACTGGTCATCAAACGCGTTACGTAAGTATCTACTAGTGTTGTCATATATTTTATTTAAAAATTACAATGTTTTGAGTAATTATGTCATATACAATTAATTTTGTTTACCAGGGGCGGATTTATAAACAAATCATATTGCTGCAGTTTGCCGCAAATTGCACAAACCGGTCATGATAAAGTGTTCATCAGATTAAACGTGGACTGTCCTGATAAATTTTTTGATAAGACACACGAATTGGTTGCAAATATATTTGCATCGCAAACAGATATATCACCAAAAATATTAGGCATATTTGAGAATGGATTCATTGCTGAATATATTGACGTAAATAAATTATTTATTTAAAAATATAATCTCTAAATAAAATGTAACCCAAAAAACAGTGCCATTATTTCACTGCCGAGGATGACCTGAACCCTAGATGTGTGGCACTGTTAGCCAAAAAGATGGCAAAAATGCATTCACTAGACGTACCCATAGCTAAGGACAGCCACCAGTTCCTTATGAAAAACTATTGGGATTTGTTTGCGGCCCCGATATTCGAGTCCTACAAAAAGGGACACATCTATGAAGAGATCCAAAGACACAAATTGCAGACATTTATGGAAATGGATTTATGCGATGAGATGTCGTGGGCTATGGAGGTGTCGGTAGGTTTGGGAGGGCCGGTAGTCTTCACGCACAACGATCTCATGCGTCGTAATATATTAGTCCGCAATACGTGTCATACAAATGCCGACGATTTGAATGTCTTTATAGTGGACTACGACTGGAATTGTTATATGTTTAGGGGCGCAGACTTTGCCGACTATTTCATCGACTGGTGTCAACCGGAACTGGATTTCGGTGGCAATGACTTCCCGACCGATCAACAGATGTATGCCTTTATCGACGCCTACATCATTGTTATATGTTTAGGGGCGCAGACTTTGCCGACTATTTCATCGACTGGTGTCAACCGGAACTGGATTTCGGTGGCAATCACTTCCCGACCGATCAACAGATGTATGCCTTTATCGACGCCTACATCTCAGAAATGAGTGCACTTTCGGGCGATTCCTATACTAAACGTGTAGTGAATTCACGCGAAACACTGGTAATGGAGGCAAAAGTGTTTGCTTTGGTCTCGTTGTGTAAAATTATATCGACGCCTACATCTCGGAAATGAGTGCACTTTCGGGCGATTCCTATACTAAACGTGTAGTGAATTCACGCGAAACACTGGTAATGGAGGCAAAAGTGTTTGCTTTGGTCTCGTTGTGTAAAATTGTTTTTTGGTCCTTAAAGATAGGAATCGATGAAAACCCGGAGTATTTGGTAAATAGTTTTTAAGCTCTTAATTTACTTCTGATTTTATTTACGTTTAACTCATTTATTTGTTATATTTCATAGCTAAAAGCAGAGGCCAAGTATAAAGTGTACAAAAATCTTAAGAATCGTATACTTCAAGATTATCCTGATACAATTAAAAATAAATAAAATTCTAAACATTTTAATTAATCATGTAAAGTTTGCAAATACAAAATTATTATGAACATTAACATTTCTAAACAAATAACTTTTTTTGTAAGTATTTCAGAATTAATTATATGATCCAATGAATAAGTATTTAAAAATGATATATTTTATAATTAACACTTAACGTATTTAAACTTTTATTTATTCAGTATAATGCGTGCATGTGTTCACAAGTAATTTGTATTTAATTTATTAAGCTTTTACTTTGCAGTACATGTCTCAAGTAAAATGAGTTGATTATAATTATACAAGTAAATCTGTACTTTCATAATAAAACACATTAGCTTGATTAATAATAAAGTGATGTGGTTTAATGCAATTGGTTTACATATACCGCAAGTAATGTTTGTACCGTATATTTACTATCATACAAATTAATCATTACTTTTTAAAGTACTCGTCATACTTTATTATCAATTATATATAGTATTGTCATAATATTTATACCGATAATACAGATCAAAAGGTATATAATAAGAGAAATGTATTTTCTTTTATAAATTAATATTAATAAATTATTTACTGTTGATGAAACATACTACTAGTTTATAATTTTAGTTAAAACATTAAACACCTGAAAGGTTTATTAGAAAATTTAATTCAATGGATAGCAATGTATCGGTTGAGGATCGGCTAAAAGTGTATGAATTATGTAAAACACATTTAGGCGGCCATTGGAGTGATGTTAGTGCCGACCAACTAGTCATCAAACCCACGACGTAAGCCTCACATAAACTATACTGGCTAATTTAATAATTGCAAAATTAATATAATTTAGGGGCGGTTTTGTGAATAAACTTTATTGTTGTTATTTAACCCATGTCGATACAAAGCCTAACAAACTTTTAATCAGATATATGAGCGATGATATTGTAGAGATATGGGGAATAACTCAGCAAACAGCTATCAGTATATTAATGTCCGAGATTAATATATCGCCCAAAATATACGGAATGTTTGAAAATGGGTTCATCAGTGAGTTTATTGATGTAAGAATTATATTTATTTATGACAAACAGAATATTGTGTT